ACATACAGACCGGTTCCCGCTCACTGGCTGAGCGAGGCGCGGGGGCAACACCGAGGGTCGTGATCCCGTTGCCGGTCCCGGTCCGGTACGGGGGCGACACTGAGGGTTGCGATCCGTTGCCGGACACAGAAAAAAGACAAAAAAAAAAAAAAAAAGAGTTCGGATCCCTATATAGGGATGGCCAGTTAGCTCACTTGGGAGAGCGTGGTGCTGACAACAACAAGTCAAGGGTTAATATCCCCTTACTGGTCATCTTTAAAAAAAAAAATAATAATAAATAAAATTTTAAGTTGAGTTCTTTTGGAAGAAATGTTTTTAATTGAGTGACTCTTGATGATATACCATAAAAGGTGGCCTGTATCAGGAATGTGGTTGCGATTAGTACAGGCCTGTGGTTCTGTTAAGTGTGGTGCCCAGATCAGCAGCCTCATCATCACCTGGGAACTTGATAGAAATTAGATTCTCTAGGGGATAGCCAGTTGGCTCAGTTGGTTAGAACACTGTGTTGATAACATCAGGGTTAAGAGTTTGGATCCCTGTACTGGTCAGCCACGAAAAAAATTAATAAAAGAAAGAAATCAGATTCTCACACCTCTACCCAGATATGCTGGATTAGAAGCTCTGGTAATGGATCCCAGCAATCTGTTTAACCCACCCTCCAGGTGATGATGATACCGCTCAGGTTTGAAACATTGGTATAGTCCACCAACATCTTAAGGAATCATGCTTTTTTTTTTTTCATTGAAATATAGTCACATACCATAAATTGTCGCTTTTATAAAGCATAATTCAGTGATTTTTAGTATATTCAGAGTTGGGAAATCATCACCACTAATTCCAGAATATTTTCATCATCCCAAAGAGCAGTCCTGTACCCATTAGCAGTCACTCCTCCAGCCCCTGTCAACCACTAATCTACATTCTGTCTCTATGGATTTGCCTATTCTAGACATTTTGTATAAATGGAATCAGATAATATGTGTCCTTTAGTGTCTGGCTTCTTTGATTTAGCATATTTCTAAGGTTCATCTATTGTCACATGAATCAGTACTTCCTTTTCGTTGCCAAATAATATTTCATTGTATGGCTGTACCACATTTTGTTTATCCATTCATTAGTTAACAGACATTTGGGTTGTTTCCACTTTTGGGCTATTATAAATAATGCTACAGTGAACATATGTGTACATTTTTGTGTGGACATATGTTTCCTTTTTTTTTTTTTTTTTTTCTTTTGGTGGCTGGCTTGTACAGGGATTGAACCCTAGACCTTGGTGTTTTATCACCACCACACTAACTGAGCTAACTGGCCAGCTAGACATACATTTCCAATTCTCGTAGATATATACCTAGGAAGAGATTTTCTGGGTCATACAGTAACTCTGCTTTTTGGAAAAACTGTTTTCCAGAGCAACTACCATTTTACATTTCCATCAGGAGTTTATGAGGGTTCCAATTTTTCCATATCCTCACCAACACTTGTTATCTTTTTTTTTTTTATATATATATTATAGCTATGCTAATGGGTGTGAAGTAGAATCTCATTGTGGTTTTGATTTGTTTGGGGATCATACATTTTTATTCTATAGTTTTGCTTTTTAATTATACTAGTTGTCTTTGATTATTCCAGATATGCTTGTGTATGTGTGCTTTAATGTGTTTCTTTTTTCTTTTTTTTTTTTTTGTCTTTTGTCTTTTTTCCGTGTCCGGCAACGGATCGCAACCCTCAGTGTTGCCCCCGTACCAGACCGGGGACCGGCAACGGGATTGCAACCCTCGGTGTTGCTCCCGCGCCTCGCTCAGCCAGTGAGCGGGAACCGGTCTGTATGTGGGATCCGAACCCTCGGGCGGGAGCGCCGCCGCACTTCCCAAGTGGCGCCCTATCCAGTGCGCCACCGGGCCGGCCCTAATGTGTTTCTTAAAAATGGCAGTTTTGGTAGAACACAGGTATATATGGGTAGGCAGGGTAGTTTAGAGTTTACATCCAATTTTTGCTAATATTTTGCTTAAACTCCTGTCTATCTTGATGCATTGCAGGGTGGTAGCCTTGTCCATGTCACCTGTGGATGACACTTTCATTTCTGGGTCTCTTGATAAGACTATCCGACTCTGGGATCTCCGGTCTCCCAACTGCCAGGTAATGGTACTTCACATTACACTTTTTGAGTGTTTTTTATGGTAGGCATTATCATCAACTCTTCCTCTGAGAGAAGGGGAAAAGCAGTGGTTCTATTCTGGGATCCCAGAGTCTTTTTAAACTTTGGGAAAAACCTGCTCTACTGGTAGGTAGCTGGTAAGCAAATACCCCAGTCTAGTGCAGATTGCATTGTACTTTATGGCTTATTGTTTTAAAAACAGTTTTCTTAGAGCATTTGAGCTACAGCCTGAAGGGATTTGTTTTTTATTTGAACTTTGTGTGTATAATATTGTGCAGTTAGGGTTGAAGAGAAATTTGTTGTGTGGGGTTGGCCAGTTTGCTCAGTTGATTAGAGCATGGTGTTGATAATACCAAGATCCAGTGTTCGATCGCTGTACCAGCAATGCACCAAAAGAAAAGAAATTCTTTGTATGGAGGCTTAAAAGCTTTATTTTAGTTAGTTTTGTGTTTGCGTTTTCTGTTCTGTAGGTAGGCTGGTATGTGTTCATATCCTTTTCCTAGTTTCCACTGGGAAAGTGAATTATATAGTGGTAAGGTCCCAGATTCATTAACTTTTTGTCTTATTCTTGTCTCTTAGGGTCTCATGCATCTACAGGGCAAACCAGTTTGTTCTTTTGATCCAGAAGGGTTAATTTTCGCTGCAGGTGTCAACTCTGAAATGGTCAAACTTTATGACCTTCGTTCTTTTGATAAGGTAAATCTTTGAATCTTTGAGCCATCTTGATATTATGGAAATTTAAGAGTGAGGTGGACATTTAAGAGCCTTTTCTATGGTAGAGGAGGTATTTGGTAAATATTAGAGAAGCAGAGCAGTAGTTCATCCTCCACTTTCCCTAGTCAAAATGGAATCTAAAGGGGTATAATGGGAGTTGGCTCTGGCAGAAGGAATTATTAATGTGCCTTGGGCCTGGGGCTACTATTTTTCTCTTTTGCAGGGGCCATTTGCGACCTTTAAGATGCAGTATGATCGGACTTGTGAGTGGACAGGACTTAAGTTTAGCAATGACGGAAAGCTTATCCTCATCTCCACCAATGGCAGCTTCATCCGTCTCATTGATGCATTCAAGGGAGTGGTGATGCACACATTTGGGGTGAGCTGACAGCCTTTGAGCATGGCTCTTTCCATGCTCATACTTCCTAGGCCGAGAATTGTGTTAGCTGGTTGGTGGAGGCCAGCAGTTATCCTTGACTCAGTGATCAAGGAAGGCATGGGCTTGCATCTTCTTTCTGCACATGAACTTGTTTCCTTTGGATTCTCACCAAGCGGCCCAGGTTTGGTGTTTAGATGTAAAATAATTCCTAACAATAAACAGTTTTCTTGCCCCCTTGTATATGATGTTGGGAATAGGGGGTGGGTTGTAAAGGGTGGCAGCCACATTTGGAACCTTGGCAGCATTGTGCTTGACAAGGAGAGGGTTTCATGAAAGGAAGGTGATGTGTGTGCTGGGTCAGTGTTTCTAGGCAGTTGTCTGTATTAATGGCCCTGTTACAACAAGAAACTGCTCTGTTTTGTTTTAGGGTTATGCCAACAGCAAAGCTGTCACACTGGAGGCTTCATTTACTCCAGACTCTCAGTTTATTATGATTGGTGAGCTTCCTTTATCCCCCATGGGGTTATTTCTCTGGTACTAGACATTTGTTTATTTAAATTATTAACAAACTAATTAAGATACTATCTGTTTGGTAGATGTTCTCAGATTTCTGTATAGCACATTATGCCAAGGGTGTAGCGTCTTTAACATGTCCTGACTTTGGAGTTCTTTACTGGGAACTGGCATTAACGTTGGTCTTCCCTGGACCAGCAGTAGAGTTAAACTCTATAAACACCACTTTATTAGTAATACTAACTTCCCGTTATAACCCTGCATTCAGTTATCTTAGTGGCTAGATGTTGGTAGAGTAATGATATTTAGCCCCTTTTTTAGATGAGAAAAATGAAATCAGAGGGAAAGTGGCATGCCTGTGAACTAACCAGGGTCAAGATCAATTCCCAAAGTTTTCTTCCTTCATTGTCTCTCCTCCCTCTCAGTTTCTGCTGATGGCTACATCCTGAAGCTTGGTCTCTCTCCAGACTTCAATCCATGTCTCTTTCCCAATTGTCTTTGTATTATGCCTCGAGCTGTTACATTTTCCTTGATCATTCTCTTTAGGTTCAGAGGATGGCAAGATCCATGTCTGGAATGGAGAGAGCGGTATAAAAGTAGCTGTGCTGGATGGTAAACACACAGGCCCCATTACCTGTTTGCAGTTCAACCCCAAGTTCATGACATTTGCCAGCGCATGTTCCAACATGGTATGTGAATAACGAGTGATGTCCTCCACCTAGGGGCTCTTTCCAGGTGGGGTGGTGGGTGTCTCAAGGAGCACAACAAGATGTGTTCTACATAGGTACATTACAGGAACCCAAGTTCACAGTTCTCAACTGGTGGCTTCTTTTTTTCACCTCCTATTATTATTATTTTCCCTCCTGCCTTTATTTGTTTATTTACTCCCCCCCCCCCCCCCCTTTTTTTTTTTCCCCCCCCCCTTTTTTTTTTTTTTTTCCCCCCCCCCCCCCCATCTCCTATTACGGGATCTCTGGTTGGGCTGGTCTTTCATTTTTGTTATTCTTCCCATGATCTGAGGTCACCTCTGAGCTCCTGGGAGATCACAGGCTGGTTTTTATTCTGTCCCTGGTTTTAGGCCCAAACTACGTAGGTTACACTTGACAACTTTTTTGCCCCTTAAAATACTCTAAACCAGCCTTTAGCAGCTACGACCTTCAGTTTCCCATTCCTCTTGGTTTATGTTGAATTCCCAGAATTTCTCTTGACCATAACTCACCTCTTAGAATTAACTCCAGACCCTTGTCTCTGTTAATCAAAGGATCAGCCTCCAGTTTCCTTTTGGGATCTCCTAGACCTATCTGGGTATTTGAAGATGAGGCATTTCATTACTAGCATACCCAGAGCACATTGCTCCCTCCCTTTGTTTTTAACCAAGAAAATAATGTCAGAAGAAATGCAATAAAACCATCCAGTCCAGTCCTCAGGAAGGAGAGGGCCTGGCTGAGGTCACCTGGTGGATTAGCAGTGAGGCCAGGTTACCCAGACACCCACCTCCCTGGCAGCACTCCTTTTTTCCCCTTACAACACTGAATCACTGTGAAGGAAGGTAGACCATGAGTGTTGGAGGGAAACAAAACCAACTTACTTTCACAAAGAGGAGAGAGCGTTTGTCTCCATAGATTGCCAAACTCAGTTGGTCAGGAGAGGGGCTATGTGCCATAACTCATCTACCATTGGGGTTGGGCACCTTGATGCTGTGGGATAGGGTATAAAGAACCCTCAGCAGTGAGAAGATGATTGGCTTTTTAAAGTTGACTTGTGTTCTCCTTCCAGGCCTTCTGGTTGCCCACCATTGATGACTGACCTTGATGCTACTTGGCTGTTTCTATACAGTAAGGGCAGCCAGCAGGAAAAAACTCAGAGGGGACTGAGATAATAGTGGGATTGGATCATTTGACTGGGCTGGAGAACATCCTTTCACTTGGCCTTCCCATGGATGTGCTGTACATCTGCTCAAAAGAAAAAAATTACTTTGCTGAGCTTCTTCAAAAGAACTCTTGGTGCGGCAGACTCAATAGGGACTCAGCTTTTCCAGCTGTCACTGCACCAAGCTCCTTCAGAGCAGTGGCCAGACTTATGATTAGAGTATAGTAGGGCTCTCAAGACACCTTCAATTTTGAATGTATTTGCTGCTGAGGAGCCGGTGAAGTCGTCAGTTCTGCACATCACTTCTCTCACCCCCATAAATGCATGGGAAGTCACAGTTCTGGTTTTGAGATGCTAGGGCAACTCAGTGCCCTGTGCCCTCACACTGCATGTCTTGTTACTGGGTCTCCATGTGTAATTGTGGCATTATTCCACAACCATCATGTTTTTTTGGTGCCAAACATTTACAGAAATAAGTCTTCATATATCTTGGGGTCAGAGAAAGGGACAAATACAGAAGGACCTTGCTTGCCAGGGAGCCTTGCAGTTAGTGTGTGAGGGTGGGTGGTCTGGGCAGGCTTCAGGCTCTGGGTGTTGGGTGGGAAAAGGCCCAAAAGCCTGAAAGGAAGGGAAGGTGATAGCAGGTAAGTTCCTAGGGCTGGAAGGTTTAGCAGCAGCCTGGTGCAGTCCTCCGTCATCAAGACAAACCTGCAGTTCTCCTGGGTGCCTACCAAGCTTGGTTTGTACGAAAGCAAGGTAGGAGTTTATTTTTGTACATGAGGTGCATCACGCTTTCCTGTGGGCCAGTATTGTGGAGTGAGTCTTAGTTGTTTACACTGATGCCTTTCCTGCCCACCACAAATTGTGTATATAGTCTCCAGGTGATACCACCCCTTTCTGCAGCTCCCAACCAAGAGCTGGTTCTAGGCCTGTGTTATATGTTATATTTAGCCTTTTTATATATGACTTTTGATTTCTACTGTTTGTATCTTAGCACAGTGTGCGCACCTTCATTTAAATATATCTGTGCATACATATATGCACATGTATATGTGTGTGTATGCATATCTCTCTCTCTCTCTGTCTCATCTTAGTTTCTCAGAGTTCAGCCGAAGGAGATGGAGTCCTACAGCCCTGGAGAAAGACTGCATCCTTGCTAATAGTGTTTGCCACAAGTGTTAGTGAGTCTTCCCTATTACCTTTTTCCCTTTGGGAGACTGAATGAAGCAAAGCTTCTAGTGTTTGCTGTTTCCATGGCAGCTAAGTGAGGGTCTTGGAATGACTCCCTTGTGTTCCTCAAGCTGCACTTCGGGGCCCTCTTTGCAGTATTAGCCCCCTTTTTGCCTGGTGATGCTCTGTCTGCATCTGTGTGTGACAGTCACTCTTGCATGGCTTATGTCTGGTTTGTGGCATTTGGGGAGAGGATGCTAGAACCAGATTATTTTCAGTTTGTTAGAGGCTTCTTTATCATTTACAGGTCACTCCCATGTATCTGGTATGTCTGCTTTGTTGCTACTTTTCCTTGCTTTCTCTTGGGAGAGGAAGGGGCTTTAGCCAGGCCCAGGATGAGATGAGCTACAGCTGGCTCATCTTTTCTTCCCCTGCATGGCCTTCTTAGAGCAGAGCAAGTGGCATGTTGACTAAGCTTCCAAACATATATGCAGGCAGCACTCCCTGCAGATACAAAAACTGAGGTTCTCAGCAAGGTTATGACTTGCCCAAGAATACATAGCTCCTAGAGGGTAAATCAAGCCATCACTGCTTCTATTCAGCAGCAGGACTAGGCTATGAATTGTTAGCACTTTTTTTTAAAGCAATTACTTTTTGTCATGTTTCTCAAACTGAAAAGGCAAGAGGCGTACACCTTTCCCAAAGGTAGACTGGAATCTGCAGCTGCCGTGGTACTACCCACTGTGTAGCTCTGCCTTCCCAGAGTGAAGGGAGGTTTAGAAACCAAATGATCTGAGCTGTTAGTGCCCACCCTGGCTTTTCAGGGTAGAAAAATTCATGACATGAATAACTGTTCAGAGAGAGTCGTTGGGACAGAGGGTTAACACGAAACGCTGGTGCTTTAATATATCTGCAACTAGAGCAGCCACCAAGCATGACTTGCTTGCCCAGCAGCAAGAAAATGATCTGTATTTGAGTTCATGTATCCAAAGCTGAGGCACTATGTTCTTTGAAAACATGCCACTTCATGGCCTCTATTTCTGGGCCTTGTGGCTGCAGAAGCTAGCTGACTCCTGAATTGGGAAGGAAAGGGGAGAGATGCAGTTGGAAGTGATCAGAGATGATGTGGTGGTGGGGTTAAGGCAAAATAAGGGAGAAGAGGCTGAGGGCCAGGGCTGCACAGATGTTCTCAGTGGAGCCAGATGAGGTTCCTTAAACAACTACAGATAGAACTGGGGGGGAGCGGGGGTCACTTGCCACCCTCTTAGGAGTCAGGGCCAAAGCCACTGATTTATATTTGACAGTGACAGTGCACTGGCTCAACCAACAACCAGTGGGTTATTTTTTTAAAAAGTATTCCCCATTGTAATCATAATTACTGCTTATTAAGGAAAAATTGGGAATTTAAAAAAGATAGTTTGCCACCCAAATGCTATCACTTACTCTTTTGGTGTTAAATGTTCCTCTAGACATTTCTGTGCATAGATTTTTGGTGTGTTTACATAGTTGTTATTCTACTGTATATACAATTTTATGTCCCTTTTGTACTTAACATATAAACATTTTTTCCATGTATCAGTCTTAAACAGAATTTTATGGCTGCAGCCTCTTCTGTTGTTTCTGGGCATTGTTTGCCTGGTTCCTGGAGTTGGAGGGAGGGAGGGATGGGTTGTCTCGTGTTCTCCTGGCTCACACGGGGGCTTGCTGTAAAGCTGTGTGGATGGATTGCTGGGCTCCTTGACCTTCCCCCTGGTAACTAAGGCCTGTGGGCTGGTGGGAGGAACCCCTAGACCCAGCTCTCAACATCAGGCTCTAATAAACAACTATAGGAGCAGGCAAGCCTGAGCCAACCTTGATCTTCAAATACTGTATCTGGCATATTCTTCAGGCTGCCTTGCATTCCCCCAGTTTACCTCAACCCTTGATCAGATTGGTAACCTCCAGCTGGAATAAGTTTTGTCCTGTGAGGCTGGCTTTTGGAGGGCAAGAGTAGCGGGGTCTCTTCTTTGAGGCTTTTGCGCCAGGTCTGGCAGAAGGCCTGGCCAATTGCTTGGTAACCCATTGCCTGCCTAGTGAGTTGCTAACTCCTAGAGCCTGCTACTCTAGCTCAACATCCTCAGAGCTGCAGGACCTGCTTCCTAGTTTTTGCCTGGCTCTCTGAACCAGAGAAGACAACGACCTTGGCCCTACCATTTTGCCCGTGGTCATTGGAGGTTGGCTAGGGACTGAGAGGCAACAGAAGGAACATCTTGGCTTTGTGGTAGGCCATGTATAGGCAGGCTGTCCTGACACAGACTATTCAAGGAGGAAGAGATCCTTGCAGCAGCCACTCCTGTCTCTGTTTGGCCAACTTGCAATTGAGACCCACTGTACCCACTCACTGGGGTTTCAGCTTTGTGGTGTGAGGACCAAGAACAGGCAGTAGGTTGGGTCGGATGCAAGGCAAGCAGGCTGTGGGGGCAACCTGGCTCAGCAGTTGAGGTGGGTAAAAGAGGCAGGTGCAGGATGCTGTCCATACTTTGCTCAGGGAAGAGGGGAAGGGCTGTGCCGAGGAAAGAGGAAGTAAAACTGCAGGTTGGGGGCCGGCCCCGTGGCACACTCGGGAGAGTGCAGCGCTGGGAGCACAGCGTCACTCCTGCCGTGGGTTCGGATCCTATATAGGAATGGCCAGTGCACTCACTGGCTGAGCGCGATGCGGATGACACCAAGCCAAGGGTTGCGATCCCCTTACCAGTCACGAAAAAGACAAAAAAACAAAAACAAACAAAAAAAACCTGCAGGTTGGTAGGGCAGCACTCCTGCATTTGCCAGCTGCCTATCTGGGAGTCCTAGAGATTCCCCAGCGCTTCAAGGGCCAACTAGTTTGTCAGGACCCATCTGCGGACAGTTTCAGGGCTGGAAGTCCTGGACGGTGGAATATAGCTATGTGAAATGTGGGAAATGTCTGATGTGACTTTTGTTATCTTCTGTGGAGAACATATAAGAAATGAAATCTAAAATGAGTTAATAGGCAGGAAAGGGGGTTTGAGAGCCTCAGATGCATTTATATACACATTTTACCAACAACTCTGGGGCCTATTGGATCTTTTTCCTGGCTGTAATCTTGCACTATGAGCTGCTTGGTAGAATTCACCTCAGTTGTAAACTAAAGTAGGAGTGAGTCAGACAAAGCTGAGGTCATGAAAGTGGTTTGCCTTAAAATTCAACAAATACTTCCTGAGCACCAGAGCCTTGGTAAGTTCTAGATAACAGTCTTCTGGGGAAGGTGAAGGAACTAAACTGCTTATCAGACAGTAAGCCCCAGGGCCCCAACTAACTAGTCTCCCTCTAAGTCTAGTTTTACAGTAATTTTCATTCAAAAGCAGGTTAAAAGGCTCCACAAGCCCAGAGCTCACAGGTGGTGGTAAAGACCTTTGTGTTCCCTAGGCAACAGTTCTGTCAGGGGGAGGGGGGCTGGGGGGGGTGTCTCACCCATGCTGAGAACTAGAGAAGCTACAGGGAAAACATAGTCCTGATTATATGCAGGCTTGCAAGGTGGAGCTAAAACTAATCCAGTACAAGGTAACAAGAAATAGTAAATGGTGTCCTTAATCCAAGCTGTACAGCAATTCATGACTCACAAGGGGTCTTCTGTACACAAACATTTAATAGGGAGGTTATGGGGAGCAACAAAGCAAAGGCATTGATTGTTGGGGCATCAGATTGTGGCAGGGCTGGGGATGGGGAAGCAACCAGTCAAGAGGCCAGGCTAGAGGTAGCGATTGGAGAACACTCCCTGCCCTGCCAACTCTGGAAGCTCCTCTTGCTCCTTTTTGCTCTCCCTCAACTTTAGCCCCAGGGCCTGTTCCTTCCCTCCAGTGACAGGAGAGCAGGGCAGGACCTGAGCTGGCCTCTCCTCAGGAGCAGTCTTCAAGATGGCTGTTCCAAAGGTTTCTACAAGGCACCCTGCATGGACTTTGGGGGTTGCTGAATGGACACCCTGACATTTATGGATTGGAGACCAGGATCTGAACATGGGCTGGGTGCCCTCATGGTATCTTTGGCTAATGTCCTTAGCCCAGGTGACCCTATCAGAATATTTTGGGCCATTGAGGATCCTATCTGAGGAGCCTTGCATGGGTTTCCTAAGTTGTAAAGTGCCCCTGCCAGAAGGATGTTATTGAAAAAGACAGAATCTGGTAGTCTGGGCTCTCCACAACCTTCCAGCTTTGACTGCATGGTATAAATGTTCCCCTTGAAACAGATGTGAGTTGGGGTGGAAGGCAAGAGCAGTGGGCTGTGGCTGGGAACAGGGTAGGCAGGGCCTGCTCTTGGCCACAGTGGAAGGATGCCCAGACTGTACCTGGCCTTGGAGTGGTTCTGGGATGAATTGGGTGAATATTCATTGGCCACTATTCCCTTGGCCCTGGCTGTGCAAGGGAATCACAAACACAGAGACGTCATCGTAAGACACCAGCTCTTCCCCCGTGGGACCGTCGTTCTTCCCCTGTGTGCTGTGTATCAGCATTTGGGCCAGCTCCAAGAACCTGTGAAAGACCATCCTGCAGATGTACTTTGGGGACAGCAAAGGGGCAAGTCCAGCCCTCCAGAACTCACTGTACAGGTCTGGACACTCGGGGACCCAAGCAAGCAACAATACTGGAAGGGCCACAGGTTGGACCTTGGAGTCGGGACCCAGAGATTTTTTGGAACCAGAGTCATCCTCCCTCCTCCCTGGGAAGCTTGAGACAGCCCTGATCCTGGCCACCTGGCCTGAGTTGGGCTCACTGTCAATGCTATCTTCTCAGCCATAACTACTTTTTGGTGTTGGTGCTGGTATCAACCCAGGCTCTGGCAGGTCCCCAGCAGCTATAAAGTACCTGTGTGGGTCTTCTCGGTTCCTAGGGAGGAAGCTCCGCACCAGCCATGCCACCTGCTCATTGGACAGGACATCCCAGAGCCCATCAGTTGCCATGACAACAACATCGTCCTCCTGCAGTTCCAGCTGGTCCATATCCAGCACAGTCACCTGCAAGTTAAGCCTAAGGATCCTTCAGTGCTCTCTTTCTAGCTACCACCAGCCTCATTTTCTGCCTTTCTGGGCAGATGTACATAAGCTTCAGTGGACTATATTGCCCCCTCACCTGTGGGATAGAGAGCAAGAAGGGCTTGAGCTGGATGTTTGTGTCCAGGACTCTGAGTTGATGGTCTCCCAGGCCGCGGGAGACAGCCAGTGTTCCCAGTAACCGAGCCTGAGGGCAAGAGAGGTGTGAGATGATGACAGAAAGCTCCAGCAAATGCACAAGTGCTAGGCCTTAACACTGCAGAGCATGCAGCGAGGTGGACTGTGGCCCTCAGGAGCCCTGGACTGAGGGAGAAACACCCTGGTCTCAGAGCAGACCCTAGGACATCAGTCACAGCCACTAGCAAGGGACAAAGGAGCTCCCACCTTTGCAATGGGCAACTGAAGAATTATTGGAGGCGGGGGGGCAGGCACTGACCTGCTTACCCTGTCCGTGGATCAGTGGGTACTTGAGATCCGATTTCTCCACGAGTTTGTAGCTCCTATCAGGAGCAGACCCAGCATCAACCCAGGCTGTATGCCCCCACTCATCTCCCCCCAACTTGGCTCAGCCATTATGACCTCACAGTGCCCACACTGCCCAGGACTGCACCAGGACACAGCTAGGCCTGGATCCCAGGGCTCTCCCTTCCCACCACATCCCCCAACCCCACCCCTCTCACCAGCCGCTCATGTGATGATCCCTGAACAAAACCTTCTGCCCCAAGTCATCCCCCTTCAGCCGCCGAGGGAACTCCAGTCGGGTGAACTCACCAGCTAGTAGCTCTGGGTAGACAAAAGCCTGGAATGGGGAGGCTATGCTCAGGGCAGGTACCTTCCCATGGCCTCTTGTGGCCCTGGATCCAGGAGTTGAGGCTCCACAGGCTCCCCCTGCCAAGGGCACCTACCAGTTGCTGAATCCGCTGCCGCTCTGTCTCTGGGGTGAACTCAGAGCTCAGTGGCCGTATCTCATCTTTTCGCACCAAGATGGCCCTGGATGGGGTTGAGGGGAGAGGGAAGTCTATGAGGTGGCCTTCACCCTCATCTGTGGCCACCCTCCTGCCAACCCCTCCTCCAGCCACCCGGAGCCATCTCACCCATGCTGATCCCTTGCTCAAAGCCCTCCATGACTGCCTAGGACCTGCAGGGTAAAGGATCAGGTCTTCAGCCTGGCATCCTGCCCTCCCTGACATCCACTGACCACCCTCACAACATATGTCAGGTACATACACGAACAACTCAGCCAGTCAATTCTTCCCATTTCTGTCCCTCCACTTCCAGCTGCTTTTCACTGTCCCCACTGCCTCTGGTGCCCTCCTGTCCACCCCACCCCTACCCACCCTCCAAGGGGGGCAGCTCACTCACCTGCTATCCCCAGCATTGGCCACGTACAGCTTTCCCTGCAGGGATACAGCCACCAGGGCTGTGCAGCCGCCCACCTGGCCTGAGGCCTCCAGCTCCCGCCCGATCACCTCATCCTGGGGCAAACCAAGGCCACCTTAGCTACTGCCTGTACTGTCACCATACCACTTTGTCCCCTTATCCCCACTCTACAGTTTATTTCCCATCAATAGGCCTGGCAGTCCCAGCCCAAAGTCCAGCTGTGAACCCAGGATTCCTGTGGTCAGGAAATCTAGACAAAGGAAGTGCTACTCAAAGCAGAGGAAGAGAAACCATCCCCTGAGCTAAGGACCAACAGGGTGTGCAATGAGATGATGCAGGTAAAGAACTAGCACACAGTAGGCACTGAGTAAATGGGAAGGGTTATGATGACAATGATGGCTGTTAGTAATGAACAAATCAAGTAGTCTTGTCTTCCCAGTCAGAGGATGCTGGATGATCTCCATGGTGTGCAGGATGCCCCACTCAAGTCCTTGGGGGCAAAAGCTTCCCTTCTTCCCTAGCCAAAGGCAACACTCACACATTCCTGGAAGGCACTCTCCAGAGCCCCGATCACCAAGTCTTCTGCCCTGATGCCCTTTTCCTCCACAAATTGGGGGTCACTGGGGCAGATGCAGCAGCCACTGAGGTGCATGGGGGGCTGAGTGGCCACCACGCCCTCTACCACAGCCTCCAGCTGCCGGCGTAGGCAGGAGTGCAGGGTGTTGGCAGCCAGGATGGCTGCTGCAGGACCTCCATGTCCATCAAATAGTGCCCAGTAGTGACCTGTCAGGAGCTGCACAGGAAGAGCATGGTGTCAGGCTCTTCCTGGCTTCCCCAGTTGTCCCCTGGCCCAGCCTGAACTAGTACATGGGGGAAGCAGGGCAAGAACCTCAGCCTTCACATCCGGGCCTCAGCCTGTAAGAGGGGCACAGGCAGGACTGCACTTACCTCCTCTGGGCACAGAGTCAGCCACTCTTGGTCCTCTTCAGCCCCAAACTCACATCGCCGGATGCACAGCTTCCCACAGGCAGCTTGATCCTCATTGAACTCAGATTTCTCTGCGTTGATGATCCTAAAGCCAGGAAGTGGTCAGTAACCCTTCAGGGACAAACCTACGTCCTAGAGGCACAGAGACCTGAGTTGGCCCACAGAGAGGAGAGCCCTCCCTCTAGAGTAACAGCTCCCCCATGCTGTCCCTGACACATAGCTGGACAACCATAATGTAAGCTTCCTAACTTTTCTGTGGCCTCTCAGTGAAGGTAAAAGTCAGGGCCCAGCCCCTCTGGAGCCTACCTGCTGACCCTGGGATGGGAGGTCAGGGCGGGCTGTCTGGGGAGATAGACCTAGGACTCCCTTTCCTATCCTCTGCCCCATCTCAGCCCGAACCCTTGTCCCATACAGCATAGGTCATAACCCAGGCTGAGATGTGTTGGGGGTCGGGGGTGAGTCCAGGATACTGGAACTCTACCGAGTCTCCCCACCTCATCTTGGAAACCCTTGAGGTGCAGGTCCTTCCCGACCTCTGACCTTCTCTGAGAGGTTGTAGTCCCAAATAAAAGGTTGGAGTGAGATGAGGAGGAGGATGTCAGGGGTAGAAAGATGAGCAAAAGTAGGGGTTATCCGCAGGTGGGGTGGTGGGGGTTACTCACTCAGCCTAGCCTGTTTTCTAGGTCAGCACAGACTGGATCAGGTAGGGGTCCCGGAATCGGGGGTCCCGAGATAAGGGTCGCCCGAGGTGGGGGCACTCACTCGGCATAGCCTGCGTTCCAAGGCAGCGTGCGTCCCCGCGCTGGGCTGCGCACGGGCCGAGCGTCTGGGCGGCGCGAGGCGTCGGCCGCGCCTGAGCTGGAGCCCGAGCCACGCAGAAAGCGGGGCCGCCGGTAGGGCACGGGGCTGGCGCGCGGCCCGGGCGGCCGCGGCGCGGGGAGCGGACCCCCAGGCAGGAAGCGGCGCCGAAACCAGCCGGTGGACATGGCGCTTCGGCAGGGGGCTGCCCGCGGAGGGTAAGCCCAAAGAGTTGGGCCAGACATCAGCCGCCCCTGGGAGGAAGAAGCGGGCTGGGGGCGGGGCCGGCGGGGCGGCGACGCCCCCAAACCCCAACCTCCGGCCCGGGAGTCTGTGCGCTGCTTGTGTGCTGTCGGGCTTGTCGATCCTCCTGACAACCCTAAGAAGCAACAGCTGTTATAAAACCCACTTTACAGGCAAGAAAACTGAGGCCTAAGAGAGGCGAAGTGGCCTGCCCTACGTCACACAGTAACATTTAGCAGGAGTGAATGCCCACCCACATGTGTGGCGCACTAGCCTTTGAGAAGGGAACGTCCCTCCCCTCTACCCAACGGGGCTGTGGAGGGTCATTCAGAGTAGATGCTGGGCCAGTGTCCAGGCAGAGCCTCAAGCCTCCTTCTGCTGGGCGGGGACCTTGCGCAAGGGGAAGATGGGGACAGGATGTCCTTGGAGGCGTCAGAGTGACACATTGAGTAAGAGTGTCTCAGAGCACAGTGTTCCCTCAGGTGGCCTCCATTATTCACTCACCCTGCCTGGCACCCTGCACGCTGAGATGGGGCTTAGTGGTCACCCTGGCTTTCCCCATCCTGAGGGGCTGCTCCCAAATGGCTGCCCCTCCAATCAAGATGTCTTCTCTGGACAGAGAGCAGGATCCTCCCACGAATGTGACTGACTGATGGACAAGATGAATCTGTGGTAATTTAGAGAGGAATCCGTGGTCCCCCAAAGGCTTCAACTGGTCAGAGTTCAGACCTGGAACTAAGGGAAATGAAAGACTTTCATCTGAGCTGGAGGCAAGATGTTGCAGTCTCTTAACCCTTGGCTAGCTGTCGCTGTGGAGTCAGCGGCAGTGTCTACCTTAAAATCTGCATGTTAACAGAGCCCTTTGTCACACTTCTGCCACTTAAGTCCAACTCCCTGTGCAAGACTCTTATTTCCATTTCATAACGGAGGACTCTGAGGTTCACGAAGGGGAAGTCTCCTGACGCCCAGGGCTACGCTTTTTCCATTATGACAATGCAGCTGAGTCAGACCTCCTCCACACTGGGGATTTCTATTCCCGTTTCCCTCACAAGGAAGCCTGGGCTTTCCAATTCAAAGCCCCTAAGGCTCCCACAGCCCAGTGCCCCCAGGCATGGCTATAGGAGGAGTTCCTACCTTCACCTCCACTCCCACACCCAGGCACATGCTCACTAGGCCCCACTTCCTCCCAGCAGCCAGCCCTGCCCCAGTGGGAGTTCCTCTAGCCCAGGGAGCTGTGCCCAACAACCTCTCCCTCAAATGACTCAGTTCTAGAGCAGCCTGAGGGCTAATTTATTGAACCCACTCTATGTGCCAGGCCCACACTAGGTACAGGAGCACAGTGCTAATGGAGATGAACCAGGCACATGCCCACTGAGCTCCCCTGCAGCCATGGTAGACATCCTGGTGGATGGTGATTGATCCAGTTGATGAGGGTGTGAGAACAAAATCAGAGAAAATTTACCAAAGGATGCCTGAGCTGAATCCCTAGTCCCACAAAGTCTTCTGTCATTGAGACAGAAATGGACCAGGGACCAAAGGGGGGGCAGGCCCAATTCAGTCTGTGGGGTCACCTTCTAACCCCCACCAGTTGATAGCTCAGAGGCTTTTAAAGTCTCAAATTAGAAGAAGCAAAGCAAACACACTCTATTCCCCAGCCCACTGTCTTGGACTCACCTGGGCATGGTGAAAGTCTTGTCAACTGAATCTCTGGGCAGCCAAACATCATAGGCAGTCTGTTGCCCAGCTTAGCCATTTCGCGTTTTCAGAGTCATGTGGAGCCCTATGGCAATCCCATCCTTCCTCTTCCAAGGTGGACTGAGTGTTCCTTCAGTGCCACGTAGATTCCTCTGGCTCCCCTGGCTCCCCAGGCTCCTGAGCACCTCTCTGTTCTTCCCTGCCTCTCTTAGTTTAGTTCCTAGTTTTGCTGAAGCACATCCTCCCTCAACTTTCCAAGAACAGATGAGTGGGAGGTAATTTCCTGGGTCCTTGCTAGTCTGAAAGGGTTTGTATTCTGTCATCGCTTTTGACTAATATTTGGGCTCGGAATTTTAACTGCTCTGTTGTCTCTTGTCTGCCACTGCTGCTGCTGAAATCTAGTGCTCTTCTCATTCTCAGACCTTTGGATTGGACTGTTTGCCTTTTTCTCTCTCCAGAAGCTTCCAAGTTCTTCTGTCTCTGGTGTCTGAAATTACAGGTGAGATTCCTTGGGGTGGGTCTGTGTTCATTCCTGGGCTAGGCCCTCCCTGGGGCCATGCAACCCCTCACTCCCCAGTGACACCCTTCTCCCAACTACTTGAACGAACTCAAGTCCACCTCCTGCTAGCCAGAGGCCTCTCCTCTGCCAACTCAGCCAGCACATGGGGGGTGGAAAGTGGGGGAGGAACAAGCCAAGAAAAAGCAAAATGGGTTTATCCTACATATTTTTTCCACTCACTATAAAAATAGCTTTTATTGAGTTCCATATCTTTTCTTTAACAAGATCTACTTTAGAATTATTTTATTTTTTTGGCGGCTGGCTGTAATTTTTAAAATGTAATACTTTCATATGACTCAAAATTAAAATGTGTAAAACTGTATTTAGCAGCAAATATCCCCCACAACCCATCCCTTGGCCACCCAGTTCCCCTTCCCAGAGATATCAAATATTACTAATTTCTTGGGGATGTCAAGAATATTCTATGCAAAGTCAACATTATATATATTAATAATATATTATTATAATTAATTACTTATAATAATTTTAACATTTATATTTATATATATATATATATATATAAAACATTTTATATATATGTATTTTTTTCTTTCTTCCCCACTTCCTTTACACAAATGATACCATACTCTATACCATATTCTGCACCTGAAATCTTCATATAAGATCCCCCTATCATTTTGTATTAGTCCTTTAAGAGCTGCCTTGTTCTTTGTCAGGGCTACAGAGCAGTCTCTGTGCAAATGTGTGGACTTTATGTAGCTAGTCTCCCAATGATGAACATTTTTTTTTTTTTTTGTCTTTTTCCATGTCCGGCAACGGATCACAACCCTCAGTGTCGCCCCCGTACCGGACCGGGGACCGGCAACGGGATCGCAACCCTCGGTGTTGCTCCCGCGCCTCGCTCAGCCAGTGAGCGGGAACGGTCTGTATGTGGGATCCGAACCCTCGGGCGGGAGCGCCGCCGCGCTTCCCAAGCGGCGCACTTATCCAGTGCGCCACCGGGCCGGCCCAAACATTTAGATCGTTTTCAATTTTTTGCTTTATAACTTTTTTGTGTGTGCACATATTGGTAAGATCAGTTTCCAATAATGAATTGTTGGGTCAAAGGTATTCATTGTTCATAAGAGCACTATTCACAACAGCCAAAAGGTGGAAACAACCCATCAACAGATGAATGGATAAACAAATTGTGGTATATACATTCAATAGAATATTATTCAGCCATAAAAAGGAATGAAGTATTGATACATGCTACAATGTAGATGAACCTTGAAAACATATATGCTAAGAGAAAGAAGCCAGACACAAAAGGACACATATTGTATGTGTCCATTTATATGAAATACCCAGAATAAGTAAACTCACAGGAACAGAAAGCAGATTGGGGGTTGCCAAAGGCTGCAGATAGGAGAGAATGGGAAGCAACAGCTTATGAGTATTAGGTTTTATTTTGGAGTAAGGAAAAAGTTTTAGAAGTAGAAGTGGTGGTTGCCAACATAATGTACTGAATTGTTCACTTTAAAATTGTTAATTTTATATGAATTTCACCTCAACTTAAAAAAGGGGGGGAGGATACATTCATAATTTTGTAGATATTGTCCTACAAAAAGGTTTCACCAATTTACTCTCCAGTCAGCCTGTTTGACCATCACAGTTTTTTATCAAAGTTTTTCATCTTCACCTATAGGTTAAAAAAAAAAAAAAATTCCAAGTCTAGTTTGATTTTCATTTATTTGACCATCACAGTTTTTTTTTTTTTTTTTTTAAAAGATGACCGGTAAGGGGATCTTAACCCTTGACTTGGTGTTGTCAGCACCACGCTCAACCAGTGAGCTAACCGGCCATCCCTATGTGGGATCCGAACCCGTGGCCTTAGTGTTATCAGCACCGCATTCACTCGAGTGAGCCACGGGCCAGCCCCAGCCATCACAGTTTTTTATCAAAGTTTTTCATCTTCACCTATAGGTAAAAAAAAAAAATTCCAAGTCTAGTTTGATTTTCATTTATCTTAGTAAAAGAGGATAAGCAACTTTTAATAGATTTGAGAGACATTATTTGTATATCCTTTTATGTGGATGGTCTGTTTGTATCCTTGCCCAGTTTTTGGTCTTTTCCTTGATTTATGAGAACTCTTCCTAAGGATAAAAGTAGACAGGATTCCCTGTTAGGGTCTTCATTTTCTGAAGGCTTCCATGACACATAAAGCTTACATTATCCAGGCATGTTTTTAGGCTCCACATTAGTTTAAACTCCTGGGCAGGGTTTTGGATCAGGTATGAGAATTAATCATGTTGGCTTCTGCATTGAATTTTTTTTGTACTTTCCCTTTCTTTTCCTTTATTTATTAATTTTTTTGCTATTATTTTTGAAGGATGAAAATGTTAGAATTTTTAGTTTAGGCTCTGTAGTAATCCTCCATTGCTAAACTTCAATCAGTAAAGTCAGATGTTATGAATTCATTGTTTTTCTTTTTTTTTTTTTTGTCCTTTTTGAGACCGGCCACACTGCGCTCAGCCAGTGAGCGCTGTGAGCGCACCAGTCATCCCTATGTAGGATCCGAACCCGTGGCGGGAGCGCTACCGCACTCCCAGCGCTGCACCCTCCCAAGTGCGCCACATGTAGTGGCATGAAGGGGAGAAAAGATTTCTTTCCTTTGTGACTGTGGTAGGTTTATGACTGGTGTACCTGTAATAAAAGACAGATTAATAAGAGAAAAAGCATATAAATTCATTTAATATAAGCTTTACGTGTCATG